TTGGGCTGGCAGCCCTGCGGGCGATCCCGCAGCCCCGGCCCCGAGAGCGGTGTGCCCTCCTGCCCCGGTCTCTCCTCCGGGGTTTGACATGGCAGCGTGCAGTGCTTGTGCCCCCAGTGCCAGCGAGCTCCCAGCGTGGTCCACCAAACCCTGCCCGTTAGTAGTATCTCGCTGCCTGGCGTCTGTCTGTGGGTGCTTTGCCGTCTGGGAACTAAATAGCTTCGGAAATAAAGCTTTGCTCAACTGGTAGTCCCGAGCATCCTGTTTGCATCTCTCCCCGAGAGCCGATCTGGTGGGCGTAAGTCCCTTTCCAGCTGCCAAACTCATAGACATTGCTCAGCAGGTTCTAGTGACTCCCTTCCCACCTAATTTGGCAACTGCTTTCTTACATGGAGATCCAGACGGTGCTGACAAGAGTGTGAGGCACTTGCCTCTTGCAGAAGGTAAAAATGGCATTGGTAGTAAGTGGGTGTGTTGGTTAGTTCAGGCAGTTGGCACTGCACTAATAGGGCTGCCACTGTGGGGAGTATTACATTGCCCCAGAGTTGATTGCTTGGCCCCACTAAGTGAGCTTTCTGTAAAATACATATGAGCCTGCGCTGGGAGGGAGCAATTCCTCCACAAGCCAGGGCTGTGACTCTTGGCAAGAAGGAAAAAGAGCGCTTTGCTACTGTTAGATCTTCTCCATGGGCAGGACTGTCCCCTGCAGCCGCAGTTTAGTTTTTGTTCCTTTCAGCTGGAGGCTGGACAGGCCCCTGTGGTTTCAGCACAGCTTCCTGTCCCTGGCTACCCTGTGCAGTATGTGGCCCAGCAAGTCTAGGCTTGTTGCTTTTCTAGTCTCAGCTGCCTTGAAAGAGACCCACCCCCTTATTTAGGCGACAGCACAGTATGTGAATGTGTTTTTCTTAGAGCTGGAAAGCTGGTAGATGGTAAGAGAGGAAAATCTTCCACAAGTACCCTTTTCTTACTGCATAGCTCCGCTGCCTGAGAGCTGAGCTGACAATTCAGAACTTCCCTCTGTTGGCCTTTTGCCACCAAAAGCACCGCTGTGGTTAGGAGCTGAGCTAGAAGGCAAGGAGAGGGCTATTGCCTCTCCTGACATGCAAATAGGTGTCCAGAGGAAAAGGAAGTGCTTAGTGTTGGCAGCCCCATTTAGTCTGCCATAGTACTTGGGCTTCCTGCAGGGTCCAGCCCTTTCTCAGCGGTCCTTAGACCGAATCAGTGGGAAAATTACTTCAATATTGGCTATACGTTCTCTTTGGAAAGCTGGAGCCTGTGTACAGACAGTCTCAATCAGGTCTGGTTCTCCAGAACTGCTGGGCCAGTAACCAGCTTGCTGTACTACAAAGAAGTTAGTAGCTTGCTTCCTTATGTCTGTAGTCCTTCTCTCTTGCAGAGAGAAGATACACAAGGATATGGAAAGGAGTCAATGAAAAACTAATTGAGTGAGGCAGGGTATCAGTGTGCAGGAGAGGATGTGGCGACTTCTGTTCCCAGTCCCCTGTTTCTGTGCGCATTGCGTGGATGGAAGCTGCTGGATAGAGTGGGAGTGGGATGCCATGGGTGGCATTGTGAGTCATGGATGGGTGAGAGGGGAGACTTGTAATCATCTGCTGTCCTGTGCCTTTTTGAAACTGGAACTCTCTCTCTCTGTGACTGTTAGACTGGCCCTATTCTTTACTGGCAGTAAAAAATTCCCCCCAAAACAGTATTACCCCCTGTGTCCCTCTCTAGTTTTGTCCTCTGGTTTTCATGATGTGGGATGCAAACAGCAGAAACAAACCTAAAGTAAGTTCTAGTTGAGTGTAAGAATGAATGGCAGAAGAGGCTGTGACCTAACACAGTATATTTCTGCCACTTTCTCTCTCTCTGAAACCATCAGCACGAGCTGCAGAGTATCTGGGCAGCTGATGCCTATAGAAGTCCCTGCTGGCACAGCATTTAACCTTTCTATCTTGTTTCATTCTCTGACCAGGCAGAAGATGGGAACATCGAGTACAAGGTGAGCCTTTTGAGGTTGCAGAAGGAGGTCTTCCTCCCAGAGGGTTATTTTGCCGTGAGTAACTTCACCAAAGACAGCATATGGGGAACACGCCCAAGGAAGGGACAGAAAAGTAGCCACTGTACCAAGGAACTATATCAGTCATCTTCTGTGTCTCTGTGCCTAGCAATACTCAGTATGCTGAGCTGGAAGAGTTTGATCTCAGTATTCATTTTTAGGAATCTGTTTTAGGAGATGAGACCCACTGTGTTTTTCCAGAAATAATCTTCCTTTTGAGAGAGAGCTGCAGGTGTCCCTGATAATCATTTGTCACCTTGTTGTGGCTGTTCTGCCATTTGCACCTACTTGGCTCCTGTGTCACAGATAGGTCCCACAGTGCTATTTTTGCTCCCACAGCAGGCAGGGTACAGATCCCTTTGGCAAGATGCAGAAAAGTTCTTCTACCATACGTATGCACCTTTGTGAAACCCTTTCTCACCTGTCCTATGGCTTCTGTGTAGGCACTAACACGGGCTGTGTTTTCTAGAGGTGAATCAGTGTTGGGGGCATTGCTTCATGGTGTTGGATGGGGGAGTTGCTGGCTTGGGCAATGGGATTCCCTCTGCATCCAGGCTGTGACTCTAACTACCCCCTCCATTAAACAGCTAAAGCTAGTGAATCCCTCGCAATACCGCTTTGAGCACCTGGTGACACAGATGAAGTGGCGACTACAGGAAGGCCGAGGTGAGGCCGTCTATCAGATCGGCGTGGAGGACAACGGGCTGCTGGTGGGCCTGTCAGAGGAGGAGATGCGTGCCTCGCTCAAGACACTGCGCCGTATGGCAGAGAAGTACGTGTTCCCTTTCATCTGCAGGACCCGCAGGCATAAACAGCCTCCAGTAGAGAGGCTCAGCCGCAGGAGTCCCCTGAAGAGCTGGTGGCTCCATTCTACAAAGCCCCTGTATGATTGAAATTCCCTCGTCATGAGGCTCTGGAAATATGAAGGCTATAGGTATAACCCTATAAGGTTATAGGGCTTTTGGCTAGAAGCTTGAGGCTCCTTCCCTGCTATCCCCAGCTTTCATGCTATTCACTTTGCCAGCTGTAATTCTAGAGGCGCAAGAGCTGCTGAGTACAAGTGTGTGTCTCACTCCTTCCTTTCCTGTTTGTGGCAGGGTTGGGGCTGACATTACGGTGCTGCGGGAGAGGGAGGTCGATTATGACAGTGACGTTCCGAGGAAGATAACAGAGGTGCTTGTCCGAAAGGTGCCTGACAACCAGCAGGTAGGGACCTGCGACTTGGCTGTCCTCTCCTGCTGGAGACTTTGCAGCTTCATACAAAGAGCTTCCTTTTGGGACGGGAGCCCAAACCCTAGAGGCACTTTGTCATAGACTTGCCCATAGCAGATGCTTTAAAGGACTGCCAGAGGGAGGCTTGATGATAATGCTTTTCATCTCCAAGATTGTAGTTGAGGCAGATGCCAGTAGGGGAGATTGCCTGGATCAGAGGTGAGAAATTATTTCACTTTCGCTTCTACGGCAACAGTTCTGATGCAGGCCAGTGTGCAAACAAGGAAGGATTTAGAGGTGCTGCTGCAGCGAATGGCCTTTTTTGTGATATCAAAGCCTGATCTGTCACATCACAGCTCTAGAGAGTGTATCACAACAACTGGGCAGTGGTTTGCTGGGAGCAAGAGCAGAATCTGAGCAAGATTACACTGCAGTGTCCATCACGGAGGGAAGCTCTCTGAGGCACATCTCCATTGCCATGTCGCGTTCATGCACACCCAGCACAGCAGCAGTTAAGTTTCATGATTTCTCTGTTCTTCTTCCTGTAGTTCTTAGACCTGCGAGTAGCTGTGCTGGGGAATGTGGACTCAGGGAAGTCAACCCTGTTGGGTGTCCTAACACAAGGAGAGCTGGACAACGGGCGGGGCAGAGCACGCCTCAACCTCTTCAGGCATCTCCATGAAATCCAGTCAGGAAGAACGTCGAGCATCAGCTTTGAGATCCTGGGCTTCAACAGCAAAGGAGAGGTGAGGGAGTGGGCTGCTGAACTCAGAAGGCTGGAGAATAGGACTACCCTCCTGTTACAACTGTAAGAGGACATGAGGGAAGAGAGGTAGCACAGCTCTGTGTCCCTTTAGCTGAACCTGAGTGCTACTTGTCCATTTGCAACAGACATAATTTCTTGCGCCCACGGTGAATGAGCTCTCCTCACTAATACTGAGGTCAAAGTGGATAGATAAGAGTTGGGTTTTCTTCACTTGCCTGCTGGGGCTCCTTCTCTCACTGAATCCTTATGTTTCTCAGGTGGTAAATTACAGCGACTCCCGAACAGCAGAAGAGATCTGTGAGAGTTCTTCCAAAATGATCACTTTCATTGACCTGGCTGGCCACCACAAGTACCTGAAAACAACCATCTTCGGCCTCACCAGCTACTGCCCGGACTTTGCTATGCTGGTGGTCAGTGCCAACACTGGCATTGGTGAGTGTTGCCCTGCCTGCATGGATTGACTGCAACGTGTGAAGAGAAATGGAGAATGGGAGGAGTGGGTCCTTGTTAGCTGGGAACAGTTGTCAAAAAAAAAAAATTAGTCTGGAAGCCTCTACTGATTTCTTGTAAGCCAGTGTCTATGAATGCCTGGGAGGGGAGCAGAGCTGGAATCCTCTTACCAGCTGTAGACCGCATTAAACTGTACCCTGGACAGAGAGGCTTTGTTTAGAATTTGAGGCTGTGTTTGTCAGAGAAAAAAACAACTTTGACATATTCTTAGGGGTGCTGAATCCTGAAGCCTTGTAAAAAGGCAGCTGGAGTTCTCCTACATCTTTCCTTGACATTTTTGTGGCTGTTTTCTGGCAAACTCTAGCCCAAGAATGAAAACTACTGCATCTTTCTGAAGCAAACAGATCAGTCACAAAAATTCTTCGTGGTTTTTATTTTTCTGGACTGATGTTTGGTTTTGTTTAAAAGAATAATTTTTCTTTTTCATTGTGTGATGAACTAAGCAGTTAGGGTGAAATCTCTATAGAGTGGGCCTGTGGGAGAGCCAGGAGACATAGCTGTCGCATAAACAGGCAACGGTGATGACTGCTAGTGCACCTACACTCTCACTTGTCTCCTGCAGCAGGCACAACGAGAGAGCACTTGGGCTTGGCCATGGCCCTCAAGGTCCCCTTCTTCATTGTCATCAGCAAAGTTGACTTGTGTTCGAAAGCCACCGTGGAACGGACAGTGAAGCAGCTGGAGCGAATCCTGAAGCAGCCAGGCTGCAACAAGCTCCCCCTGCTTGTGAATTCAGATGATGATGCTGTTACAGCAGCACAGCAGTTTGCACAGTCTCCCAAGTAAGGGACCATTCCTTTCTTCTACTGGGAGCAGGCAATTCAGACTGGGCTGCTGTGCAGAGCTGGGAAAGGGTGACCACAGGGGAGGTGACCACATCTTGTCTCCTCATCAAGTTTCCTACCTGTGCATTCTCCAAGAAGGCATTTTCCCCTCCCAGGCCTTTTTCTGAGCTCTGGGAGCAGAAGGTGCCTGAGGCTGCACTGGAGTTACTTCTCCATGACAGAAGTGTGGGTTGCCTGGGGATTGGTGCCTTGACCAACCATTGAGGCAGGGGTTACTGTAGAGTTGTACCTAGCCTGTGTGCCCTCCTGCTCTAGCCATTTATTGCTGTAATCTCTGTCCTCTTCCTGGACTCAGTAGATTCAGAATCCCAGCCGCCTTCTGCAGCTGTGCTCTGGCCTTCTGCTTATTCCTGTCTATTTGTGTCTGACAGCATCACCCCAATCTTCACACTGTCCAGTGTTTCTGGGGAGAACCTGGATCTCTTAAAAGTCTTCCTCAACATTCTCCCTCCACTGACCAACAGTAAAGAGCAGGAAGAACTAATGCAGCAACTCACAGAGTTTCAGGTGTGTAAGGGTAGTTTGTTTCCAGTTCTGGTACTGCGCTCATTGGTGTGACGTGACAAACATCTGGGGTATCTGGACACCATGGGGAGAGACATGGTGAACTCCTGGACTATTGGGAGACATTAAAGAAAGGACTTGGTCCTTGAAAAAAGCCTGTTAGACTGGGCTCTGTCCTAACCAAGGGATGCCCATCTTAGGGATAAGATTGTTTCTCTGGTTGCCACTTAAAAGGCGGAGGTTCGTCTAATGGGAAGGTAGTGAGAGCTGGTGAAGGCTCTGAGATGGTGTCCCATGACCAGCAGAGAGGTCACCTCCCTCCACACAAGGGGTGGGCACCTTGCCCTCATTCTGCAGTGCTATTTTACACCTGTCTGAGCAGCTTATTCTTGTTGCCTTGCTGCAGGTCGATGAAATTTATACTGTGCCAGAGGTGGGGACTGTTGTGGGAGGAACTCTGTCAAGGTAAGTGAGGCCAGGCAGACAAGTGTGGGTGTGAATGGTTGCTGCAGTTCCTACAAGGTTAGAGTCACCCACTGCAGATGTGGAAGCAGTGCAAGGCTCAGTCCTGACTGCTGCCAGATGACTGAACCAAGTAAGGGTGAAGCCCTGCAGGCTGTTGGGAGATGCCACGAGCAGACCATAGGTCATGTGGTGGCAAGCAGAGAGTCTGCTCTAAAGCTGCTGGATTAGGAATGTGACCTGTAGCGTTCTGAAGGAAGGCATACTGGGACCCAGAGTTGGCAGAGGTTAGCCATGATCCCAAGGCATTGCTTTCCTCCTTCCTCAAGCGGGGGGGGGGAATGTAGAGGGCAAGTACTCCGATCCCAGCAGAGGTTAACTGCATGCTACCCCATGAGAAGGCTGCTGTCCCTCAGTGTTCGGGAGTCATCAGAGCAGTTTGGCTACCAGCGCATCCACACAGAACAGAGGTGTCAACTGCCCTCCCTCCAGCAGAAACAATGCAGTGTGGCAGAGCACTGGGGACAGAATGGCCCCTGTCTGTACCTGGTATTCTTAGGAGTGATAGTGTGGCTTTCGCTCCTACTGTAGGAAATCCCTGTTCCCACCAGCTTTGCATCCCTGTTATTGGTCCCGGCTAAGAGTCCAAGGACACTCACCTCCTTGGCCCTGCGGAGTTTGTGCAGGTTGATCCTGGAGGTGAAATTTCTTCCTTGTCTCCTGATGAACTCTGTCCTGCTTTTCTGCCCTGGGCAGTGGGATCTGCCGAGAAGGGGAGAACCTGGTGGTTGGTCCCACTGATGATGGGAAGTTCCTCCGGCTGAAAGTGTGCAGTATCCAACGCAACCGCTCTGCCTGCCGCGTCCTGCGGGCTGGGCAGGCAGCCACACTGGCCCTCGGACCCTTTGACCGCTCCCTGCTGCGCAAGGTGAGTCCTGCTGTTGCCAGGTTGCTCACTGGATCAGTGAGCAGGACTGGAGGCTTCCCTGGAGATCCCCCATTGGTAGGGTGGGAATGAAGTAGAGATGTTTGCAGGAAACTTGCTGGAAAGGGAGGAAATGGCCAGGCTACGAGGCAGAATGAGTACAAGGCTGAGAACAGGATGCAAGCCCAAGTCGCAGAGTGCACATGTGTTTGTGGGTTTGGGGGCTGTTCAGAAGCAAGGAGACTGTCCCTAACTGGTCTGAGCTTTGGGTTGTTGTGCAGGGCATGGTCATGGTGAGCCCAGAAATGAACCCCACCATCTGCTCAGTATTTGAAGCCGAGATCGTGCTGCTGTTCCATGCCACAACTTTCCGGAAGGGGTTTCAGGTGACGGTGCACGTGGGGAATGTGCGACAGACTGCTATCGTAGAGAAGATCCATGGAAAGGTAGGCATGGGAGGAAAGGGGATGAAGATGGACCTCCCTGTGGGGTTTGTTGAGATTCCACCATGCCCTCTAGTAGAGCTAGGGGCTAGTGGTATCTTGAGTAGCTGTGTCCCTTTCTAGGAGCACACTCCATCCCTTTATCCTGCCCATTCAGTTGTGTTTCCTCCCAACATGTTAAAGAATTCCCTCCTCACAAAACAAGCAGCATGATGGACTGCAGCAAGACTGTGCAGGGAGGTGAACTCTCCATTCTCCAGAGCTTGTGTCTTTCTGTCTCCCCTTATGCATACAATAATGGGAAGGGCTCAAGCCATGCAGTCTGAGGGAGTTGCCTCATCATCTTGCCTGCTTGTTTGCCTCATCTTCTTAGCATCCACATGCTCCTCTCCTGCATGCATTGGTATGGTAGATGGGTCTAAGCTCTCCCCTTTTTCTTTTCAGGACAAGTTGCGGACAGGAGAGAAGGCAGTCGTCCGTTTCAGGTTCATCAAGCATCCTGAATACTTGAAGATTGGAGCCAAGCTGCTTTTCCGTGAAGGAGTCACCAAAGGCATTGGGCATGTCACTGACCTCCAAGCCATCACCACCAAAGAAAATGGCCTGGAGGAGTCCCTGGGGCCTGGACAGCTGAGCTTCTGACTACCACTAGGTCAGAGAGATCTCCACTCACCAGCAACCGGGGAGAAGGATGGAAGATCCCGTGGCTCTCTGAGTGATGCCTGGAGCTGCTGCTGTCCCATTCTAGCGTGGGTGTCCTCCTCCGCACTGTGTGATGGAGCCTGGGAGAGTTTCTCACATTCAGTGCCATACATGGGGCAAGTTAAGCATGTTCTCCACATCGCCTGCAGCTTTTGTTACCCTGCCCTCCTTCAGAATAGATCAGAGGCACCTGCAGACCTGGGCAGGCAAGTTCTGGCTTTGTTTATTGTTTGAAAATTACTGGTTGGGAGGAGCAGAACCCTTGAAGACTAGCAGTGAAGGGATGTTTTTCTCTCTCGGACACAAGATCTGGTCCCATTTCTGCCCTCTGAGCACTGGGTTGATAACAATCCTCTCTTGAGTCAACCTGCAGCACGTCCTTCTGCGTAGAGGATGGAAGAAACCCTGCTACCCACAGCAGGGTCTTGGTTGAACCTCTCGGAACACATTCAGGACAATTTTTACTGTTTTAATCTTGGTTGGCTTTAATCCGCTGCGTGTCTATTTGTGTGTTGGTTTTGCATTACTTCAATCTGGGTGTCTTACTGTTGGACAAATGTCCTGTTCCCTACTCACATGTACACACTCCTTCAGCATCCTGCTGACTCCTGGGACGCTGTGGCTGCTCCGAGTGGCGCAGCCTCCTGATGTAACGTCGTGAAGGCAAAGGTTGCACTTGCATCTGTTCCTTGCAGCAGCTGGGCAGGAGGCCGTTCTGTGGAGCAGAGCGGGGCCTGGGCCTGTGCTGGCATGTGCAGGTTGTTTCCATGGATGTTCGGCTGACGGTGTCATCTGCACGTTGGCAGCAGTGGTTTGCAGTGGGCTCCCTGGTGTGGCCATTCCAGGTCCCAGTCCAGCTTGCTCCTCACATGCCTGCCTTAATGTGTGAGGAGGACAGGCTATGTTACTAACACAAAACCAGGTGACTTCTATTGTTTAGATGTCATTTGACAGTGGCGCAATTTTATTTCTGTTTCTCCTGGAGGGAGAATTCTTTTCTTTCCCTTGCCACTGGGGTTTGTTGTCAGAGGAAAGCTGATGTTGCCAGCAAGGACTCTGTACACAAAGAGTGGAGCACATTTGTCTCCTACTCTCTGTCATGCAGCTCCCCTGTGTAGCCTGGAGGGTGCAGCAGGGGCTGTGTAGCTGTTGGTTTTATTGTTGACTGTAGCTTTTGGTTTTATTGGTTGGGTTTATTGGTTTTATTGTTGACTGTTAGACCAAATGTGTCTGCTGTGAGCAACAGGCCTTCAGCCAGCCCTGTCGCATGGCATGGAGGCCTGCCAGCCCTGACCGAAGAGAAGGACAAGGGCCTGTGATAGCACTTGAACACCCAAACAGCCCTTCTACCATCCTGAGAGCGAGTTCTGCTTCTGGGCTGCTGGCACGGGCAGTGCCTGTGGGGCTGAGCGGCCCGTGCTGATCTGTGGATGTCGCAAAGCGTCACTCTCTGCTGGGCTGGGCTCTAGCAGGTGGGGAGGTGGTGGCTGCACCCTGCGAAGAGCATGCTGAGGTGTGGGGAAGCTGGTGAAATGGTGATATCCATGAAGGGGTTCAGAGGCAGCTCAGTAGTGACAGGAATGACCTGTCCCTTGGCGGAGCACTGACCCAGTTGAAAATCTGCTTCTTCCCCATCAGCCCAGCAGCAACAGCAGCTGCTAGCTCAGGGTTGCTGCTGAAGCAGGATCCCTCTTTCTTCCCATCCTGGCAGTAGTTTGGGTGTTAACGGTGACGTGGTCTTTCACCCATGCTTGCAAGGAGGACAGACCCAGCTGCCAGCAGGCTCTTCCCTTTGGTGCTAGTGGGTCGCAAAGAAAGCTGCCTGGGGGGCTCCAGCTGTTTGCAGCAGCCCTGGTGTTTTCTGCCCCAAAGTGGGCATGGGGTGCTGTGACCTTCTCTGAAATAGCTGATGGCTGGTCTCACCTCATCCCTGCCATCTGTGTGGCATGACTGTTCTTGGTGCCATGCTCTTCATAATTGCTGTTTTGTTGTCTTGAAATTTTCTAATGCTGGGGATTGTCCCTGTTCCCCAAGCATCTATATAAAATGTACAGAATAAAGATGTTTTATTGAGCTTGCTGGCTGAGTTGTACAATGAGCAAGGGTGGAGCTGGGCTCTTGCCCTGCTGCCCTTGGAGCTGGGTCACGGTTGGAGATGGCTGCTCTTCACCTCTTCCTAAGCTTCCTGCATTCAGCCCTATAAATACCATCCTGTGGCGTGGAAGGAATGCACGCGCGCTGCTGTTTACAACCGTGCTCTCCTTGCTTATCTGAGCAAGCCTGGGTGTGCAGCCTGCGGTGACAGGCAGCCACGTCACCCTGAGCACAGCACTTCAGGCTGTTGTGGGTGGAACAGGCTGCGGCGGGTGCTTCCTCGCAGCCACAAATTCCCCCAGAGCCTAATTAAAGGGATGTTTTCTAGGGCACGCATCTAACCAGTGGTTTGTTTTTAAAAATAGCTGCAACCTGCTCAAGGGCTTTGCCACTGCCTTCTCTCCATGAGAACAGGTAGCTCCCTTGGGACAAGCAGAGACAGAAGGGCTTCCCTGTGGAGGTGACTTGTGTCACTGAAGGGATTTGCCTGGTCTCAACTTGGTTGTGTCAGGTAGTGGTATCTGCTGAGTCTGGTCCGTCCAGACACTTGGGAAATGAGATGTGCTGCTGTCACAGGAGTGTGAGGTAACCCGGCCAGACTGGTTGCTACTTCTCTTTACATGAGAACTTTGGGAAACTTGTCACTTTGCAATGTGAGGGCCGTCATTAATGGGAGTGACTCTGTAATTGCTTCCTCTGCTGATGACCAGCAGAGCTGCATGTACCAGAATGAGCTTCTCATGCTTCCTGAAATCTCACAACTGTGTTGTGAAGTAGTAGACCCTCACTGACAGCAACGTAGCAGCTTCCCAGCGCAGGCTGTCTGCTGGAAGGAGAGCAGCTCAACAGCTGCAAGTTGGATAGTGCAGTTCAGAAATGAAGGGGAAATATCACATGCAAATACAGCTGCACTTTGCATCATTATCAGCTGCCTGAAAGGCTCTCTCCCCCCCTGCCTGCAGCTGATGAAACTCTCTGCAGTGTGTGTTTCCAAACTCCACCCAGTGCTGCCTTGACGTGGCACATTCCTTCCTCCTGCCTTAGGAGCTGAGTTCAAATTATTGGCAGCAGCACTTCTGGAAGAGGCCAGCAGGCTCCAGGCAGCTAGCGGCGTAGCATAGAGCTGAGCCTTGCCAGGCAGCTGAGGGCAAGCACATCTTTGCCCTGGAGCTGGTCTTGCCCCCTCCCTGATATTCTGCTTTGTTGCCTGTTGTAATTTGTGGAGCACTGGGACAGCCACTCTGTTGTGAACTGTGGCCCAGAGAGCTGAACAAGTCATTTGGCAGAACACAATCAAAACAGATACCTGTCATCAATGTGCATGTACTATCACCCAGAGTCTGGGAAAGAGGAAAAGTATGGTTATATATTCTTTCTGCAATGGAGGAAAGCTTTTACAGAGCACTGTGTGACTCTGGTTTGTTTCCCATCCCTTCCATGAGGACTCTAGCAGTAGACTATTTATGTGTCAACAGCAATTATCAGGAACTGGTACTGAGATTTCAAAAAGCCCAACAGAAAGTATGCCTGTGCAGCTCCAGCTTCCTCAAATCTTACTTGACAGAAGCAGTCTTTCTTGTGCACTCCAGAGCTAGTGATACGCATCATGCAATGGACTGCTACACAGAGGGAATTGCCAAACTGTCTATAACAAAAAATCCCAGTGGGGGAATAAAAATTAGTGTCTCCCAGATGGAGTGGGGAGAAGGAACCACAGGGCTAAACTACCATATATGTCTTATACAGTAGGGGCAACGCCTGCAACTGCAGCCAGAGGAGAACCGCCATGAGGTGAAGGCTTCATACTACGTGACTGGATAGGGGTTCAAGCCTAGGCTTGGCTGGAGATTCCCTGGGATAAGCCACTGTGCTTACATTGCCTGCTTTTACAGTAGGAGCAGAATTACTGAGCAGTGATGCTATGGAAATACCCACGGCAGGAGGTGACAGTACGATGCAACTTCTGGTAGCACCAAGGAAGCAGAGGCAAGCTAGCTGCCACCAGCTAAACTGGGTATGTCCAGCATCATATACAATTCATGAGTTGCAGTTCCTCTTAGACTTAGGTTAGAGATAATTTATTAGACTTTTCTGCATTAAAACCTGAGAGACAGTATAAAAACTTTTAACTGTATTTAAAAACACTGATTCTTTAAAAACACTGATTATCTAAAAACTCCCAGCCACGCTGGGAGTTAAGGAGGTAAGCGCTTAAAGAAAAAATCTAAAGTTCTTGTCACACCTTCCCTGGGTCGTTTTGTACTAGATCCTGCTGGAGTCTTAGACTTGTTCTTTGCCTTGGCAGGAGACCTGGAAGCTGCAGCCTTTACACTAGGAGCTGCTGCTGGAGCCACAGGAGCGCTGGGCTCCAGGAAGGAGCTTTGCAGCTCCAGAGCAAAGTGGTAGTCCATGTGCTCTGGGAACTCCCACATCAGCACAAGCTGGTCGCACTTCTCACAGCGCTGCTGGTCCTCTGGCGAGGCAGGAGGGAGTAGGGCGAGCTCAGGAGAGGGTGGCAAATTCTGCTCGTTTCCCTCTATATCTGGCTCTAATTTCAGAGGGGTCCTGGAGCTGGGTGGAGTTGAGGGTGTTTGTGTAGGATCACACAGCAACTTCTCACAGGGAAGCCTCTTGTAAGGAGAAGTAGGGCTCCCATCTCCAGGAGTCTGCTTCACAGGGGACTCCAGGTCACACTGCACCGATGCAAGTCCAACGCCTTCTCTCTCTTGGTGCTCTGGGGAGCCAGGCACAGGCGACTCTGCAGTGGTAGCAGCGGGCCGGATGGGTGGACAGGCGACTCTGCAGTGGTAGCAGCGGGCAGGCTGGTTGCCGCCACCATCTGTGACTGCTGCTTTTCTGCTGCCTTTTGGAAGAATGACTCGATAGCATTAGCTGGCTTCTGCCTAAGCTCTTTGCTTGGGCTCCTGAAGAACTTGACCCTGGGCCTGCTAGAAGATGTGGTGTTTTGGCTGGTGGTGGCAGTGCCATCAGGCTGGCTATGACTCGTCAGGAAGGTGGCGATGCCTGCAGAGAGGAGTGTGGCAGGCTCTGAGAACCTGTTTGCCGAGAGAAGTACCGATATGAGCGGTGGAGACCTGCAAAGGACAGACCAACATCAGCTCAGACACCAGCCCAGGAAGCAAGAAGTCTTTTAAGGTAAGACTTTAAGCAACATAAAATGTTCACAGGCAGGGGACAGGGGGACTTCAGTCCGGGTATCTGGCAAGGGGTGGGAGAAGTGTTTTTTCTGACAAAATTTTTGTAGTAGTAATACTGCTACCTCCAAAACAGAGTCTCACCAACATATCAGGCTGAGTTGGGCAGAGGAGAAAGCCACTTCCCAGAACAGCATTTCCCAAAGGAAAGGGCACGGGAGCAGGGGCAGCTGGCTGCCAGCCTGGACTTTCAGTCCACCACAGGCCAGAGCTGCTGTGAGACTCCCAGGCAAGGTGAGAGGGCCGTAAGGGAGCAGCAGCCTTGTCGGAGCCTAACAGACAGGACCTTCTTGTCCTAACTATGCCTCAGCCTTCACTGCAGAGCAGGAGGAAGGAAGGAAGTAACATTGAATACGGGAGCTGTGCACCTTAGTTTTCCTTCCTGTCTCAAACGCCCCCTCCCAAAAAGCACCTTTGTTCTTAGGGGAGGAGAGCAAGGCCTAGCTAGCTTCTCCAGCCCAGCAGGGCAAGGACTACCTCGATCTAGCTGGACACCCCCTGCCAGCAGCAATCAATCATCAGCTCCAAGTACAGAAGTGTCTCTCCAGATGTGGGGCTAGGAAGAGGCCAGGCTCTCACAGCCATCCCACCGCTAAACAAGGGGAGTTTGCGGCGCTCCGCTGTGCATGTGCTGGGGATCACTTTTCCTGCCAGTCAACATAATGCTCTTCCTTTCTGTCAGGTCGCTGTCTCATCCTGCACCTCCCACAGCAGAACAACCCCTGACAGGGACGTGAACCACTTCCTCCCACACTCACCAAGCCGCCTGCTGAGCCCCAGCCATGTTGCAGTTTTGGATGAGGGCAAAGGCATCGCTGCACATCTTCTGGGCATCGTAGCGGGACAGAGCGCAAAAGCGGGACACCCGGGTGTCTCCCTCCATGCGGATGACCACCATCAGCTGCTTGGCCACTCGGTGGTTCTGCAGAGAGAAGAGGGAGCTGTGTCTCACGCGACACCTGCAGGAAAGAGCAGGAATGGCCGAGGAGACCATCTCGCTGCCCAGAACCCTCTACTATCAGCTACCACTTTGCTATGATGCTGTGTGACAGATGGCAGCTTGTCCTGCCTGGTCTGATCTCCAAGGGAGGAGATACAGGACAGCAAGTGCTTATACAGCTGTGCCACACAGGATGGGAAGCAGTTAGTCCTTGCTTTCCTTCAAAGGCAGCTGCGTGCCTTTTCTTGGTCCCCCTACAGCGATGAAGCTAGCAGATTAATCTCACCCTGGCCCGCAGTCTACGATGCAGATTTGAAACATCGCTTCCTTTCGCAGCCCACAGCACAGGCAGAGCTGCATCAGCAAAGGGCTTGCAAGGGAGCAGCAGTGCAGCAGGATGAAGGTGCAGCGCCTTTCAGATCGCTGCATCCTAAAGCACTGGACAAGGACCGTCCTTAGCACTGCAGTGTTCTGGCAAAACCATCATTCCTGGCTGGGCTCCTCTACACCTCTTTGCCTGGGGCACCTCAGCACACATCTGAGGGCAAGCAGATTTCCTCCCCTACCTCCCCTACACCACCCTCAGCCTCCTGCAAACAGTTCATGGTGCAAACACCACGTGGCTTCCTGAAGGCCAGCAGGGAGAACGCTGTCTCCGTGCCTCCCCTCCTTACCTGGCTTCTGTCCTTGATCAGTCGGGATTCCAGCTCCAAGGCCAGCTGCAGAAGCCAGTGTTGCACCTGGACAAAATAGCGGTAATGGACAGGTTGGGCCTCTGCTCACAGCACTGCCACCAGGCCAGAGCAATGCTCTGCACACCAGGGAATGCTGGAGGGGGATCAGAATGGAATGGACACAGACTATCATGAGGCCCCGTGTCTAGAGCACTCCTGGAGAAATTGGCGCAGGTGAGGACCAGGGGCAAGGCATTGTAAATACCATACAAGTCCTGCAGCATTACTACTAGACTTTGACAAGTAATCTGGGTCCCCTGCCCTGGATCCTCTTTGCGTCTCCTTACAGCTCTGTGGAAACCTCTCTGCAGCTTACAGGTAAGGTGCCACCTCCCTTTTTCTTTGGGCTACTGACCTTCTTTCTAGCAACCAAGCCCTTGAAGCTTGGCACCGTGAATACCTTTTGAATAGCACAGGCCCACAGTTTTGCTTGTGGAAATTACAACAAGGTTGGACCTCTTTGTGCAGGAGTTTGTCAATGCATTTCTGTCAAATAGGAATTTCCATAATTCCTGGGGCCCAAACCACCTCCTCCCACCAAGCCCCTAGGCTGAGTTTCAGGGCACTGTGACACAGAAGAGCAGTAGTTCTGCAAGCTGGTCTCAGCCTTTAGGGTTCTCATCTTCTCCAGTGCAAAGGCCAAGCCTTGTGCTAGATGTAGGCTTCTCCTACCTCCTTCTGCGTGGCCAGGGCTGTCCTCCCAGGGAAGTTCTTGCTACAGCCAATGGACTGGGGCAGGTACCGGTTTTTGACAGGTTCCTCTTCAATTCCTCTGCACAGGTCATAGAGCCAGGACCTGAAAGCCACAGAGGAAGCATTAGGTAAAAGGCAGCCACAGACAGGCAGGCATCACTGGGCAGCAAGTCAGCCTTCTGCTGAGCCCTGCTTTCAGCTCTGTGCAAGCTGTGACTGCGTCTCATCCCCAGCTCTGCAGTTGCAGCCGCAGCTGAACAGACAGGCTTCCTTCAGGCTACAGCTGCCTGTCAGTGCAACTCCTCTGCCTCTTCTGAAGTGGCAACAGTTCACCAGTCTGCAGGGCACCCCAGTCGCTGCTCTGGGCCCAGAAGTGGTGTTTCAAACTTCAGTCCAGCCTTGTAATTGCCTCTGTAATGAGACTGTCAAGCCTGCCTGCTTCCCAGCCTGCAGGGAGCCTTTCCACAAGTTGGCCCCATCCTTAGACACCGTGGAGGAAGGCAGAGGAGCTGGCTAACAGACAAAACATTATCCTGGGGAGGGTGACTGGGAGCAGGCGAGACTGGAAGCCTGTTTGTGGGCCTACTAAACCAATCCTTCTCAAAGATGTCACTGAAGTTTTACCTTCCAACCTTCCTAATCACAGCAGAACAACCTGTGACTGAAAGGAAGTCTCAGTTCCTGCCAAGAGCCAAGTTGTGGTTAGTGGTTTATCATTACCCAGTTTTGTCTCCAAAGTGAGTCTGGAGTTCTGTCTCACTGAACTGTGTGAGCTGCCCAATGTACTCTACTCCCAGGATGTCTGTGATGGCAGTGCCAAGCTTGCCTCCCAGGTTACGGCTACAGCACAGAAAAAAAAGAGAAAGAGAAAACACAAATGAAGCATCATGTGGAGACTATGCCAAGTCTTGCAGCAGCTGTCCCTAGGTCAGGACAGCTAGAAGCAGTCAGGAACTAGCAGGACAAAAGGGAACACTTAAAACATAACAGCTCTTCTGCTCGTAATAGAAGGACACATAGGAGTTGAAGTGGGAACTGCTCCTTGGCTCACCCAGTTTCAGTGCTTCTCCCTCAGCTCCATCTTCAAAACGTGATCCCAAACCATGCTGTGAAGAATGCCTCACACAATCCCTGCTTCCTCCTACACAGACAGGACCCTTCCCCACACACCCCCCTCTCCATCCCTAGTGAGACACTGAAGGCAGAGAGCAGCAGTGCAGGTCTGGAGAGCAGGACCAAGGATCCATTCCTCTGGAGCAGCGGTGCTGGTAACTCTTCCCTACAACCCTACACCAGGAAAAGTACTTGTGCACGGTGTGGATGCTCAAAACCAAACCTGCTCTCTGGGAGCACAGATCTGTCACTCACACTGGGGCACAGCTATGGCCTCCTTGCCCACAGTTGCTCCTGGCTTACACCTATGCACCCCAGCAGTCATCCTAAGCACAGCCCTACCCAGGGAAAAGCTGCCCACAGGATGCTCGTGGGCTCTTTGAGTGTGGTCCCTTCACTGGCAGGGCTGCAGCTCCTCCTCAACTGTCACTCACAGCTGTGAGGAATTAGTGGCAGGATTTCCTCTGTTTCTTACAAGCATTGATGAGCAGTTACTGTGGAGTTGAAAGCCTTTGCTGGCTGCTATCAATTAGCATCAAATTGTTCTCTGTTGAGGTGGCCAGGAACAGTTTCCTACCCCCAAGTCACTTTAGTTCTGCTCACACAAGCAACGATAACTGACAGGAGCAAGTACCGCAACAACAAACAGGGCTCTCTTCCTGATAAAAGCCTAGATTGTGGAAGCATAGCACCAGCATTTCAAATACATGCTCTTGCCACAGAGCAGCTCAACCTGACCCCCAGGCTGCACAAAAGCAGGCAGCTTCCCAGTACTTACATATTGCCAACAGGTAGTCGGCTGAAGAGCTGTGGGACAAACCGCGAAGATACTAGCGTCTGGCGGTTGGGCTTGTTTAACCCACAGCCCAGTTTTGCCAGTGTCTGTAATACAGAAGAGGGTGGAAACCCTGTTATTACAAACTTTGCACTGACTTTATTGTGACTCTATCTAACAGCTTGTGCTCTATCACCTCTAAGAGCTGCCTTTAGAATAGCTGCTTGGAAGGACGTGCAGGTTGCACCATTGCTTGCTCCCAGGTAGTACCCACCTTGGGACTTGGCACGCACTGGCTGGGTACTCTGAAAGCACTGCTGCTTCCAGACTCCTAGCTCTGCAAAGGGCTGGACTCCTGCTCCAGCCAGTTTAGGGGATCTGGGTCTATCACCACTTCTGGTTGGCTTAGTTTTCCATCAGGCAAGCATGTTAGAGCTTCCAGAGCATCCCCATAATCCTCCCCAAGCTATTTCTCTCACTATGTTTTGCTCCTTCATCTTCTGTGCTTGCTTTCCTTTTTCTCAATGTCACTATTTTAATCTTCTCTCTGCGAGGTCCACAGCAGCATAATGCTGCAAAAGGAAATCTGCAAAATACAGAATTGCTAGCCTGGAAAGGATGTTCTCTAGCCTATCTGCTATACAGCCTCCCCTCCCACTCTAATCTACCACAGGATCAAGAATACACAGACCAGCCTGAAATACGTTTAGCTGGGTGTTTGGGGGTTTTTTTGAACAAGTCGAATAATTTCCTCTTTCACTGCTTTACCACGCATCCTATAACTAAGCAAAATTTCTTTCCTGCCTATTGAGCTATGATCTTTATTAACAACCTGTTTTACAGGCTTACATACTTTCTCACTCTTTTCTAGACAGAGTAGATCCCCTTCCTTCAACTTTTCATATCCAGTCATTTTCCAGATGTCCAATTATTGTTATTCTTGTTTCACTGGAGACTCTTCCAAGTTTACCCACACTCTTCATAAAGTGAAGTGCTACAAGCTAAACCAATCACTGAGACTTCATGGGGAGAAATAATTTACTTTTTCTGACACCTTCTCTAATCTGCACATGCTGAAACAGGATTTGCCATTTCTACAACAGCTCTCATATTACTGACTCATCCTGCGGCTTGTCCACAATAACTCCAGGCTACTTCCTGATTTACTGTGACTTAGCCAAAAGCCTACTGGTTGCTTTTTTCCTTTAAACCACACAGTCAGTGAGGAGCATAAGAAGCACTGCTTGGTGATTTCAGACTGTTTCTGGGCTTTTCCAAGCCCAGAATTTTCAGCTCTGATTTCATCTCCCAGAATTCTCACAGCCCAGGCCCTGAGCCCCATCTGTGCTTAGCATCACCCGAATTCCTACAGCTGTTCCCTCTCTATAGGCTTCAGTGAAAATATTGGCTCTTAGCCAACCTCAGAGGGCCCACCCCAGGGGGTTTCCCCCCCCCCCCAGGATCCCACTCTAAACATCCCAATCTGAGTGCAACTCACTGATCAAAATCATTATGGAAAACAGTAAGATATTCTTCAGCTAAGTGCATGCCTTTCAGATAACCTCAGTCATGTTGTGTTTTGCTAAGGCATCATCGTCAGCTTATGTGACTCAGAGTGAGGTGCATTAGAAACCTTAAGGTGAACACCTCACATCTGCAGTTTCCCCTGTACATTAGGCTACTTATGCTGTCAAAGAGGGCACATAAATGAGTTTGGCACAAGTGGTTCTTGATAAAACTATGCTGTTGTCCTCCAGCTGCTTCCAAATAGCTCATTCAATTATTTGGTCTCATTTATCAGCTGGGTTCCTGGTGTACCCTAATGAGTTAGCTCACTAGGAAGAAAAGTCCCTCAGGAGAGTTTTCTTTAGAAAAAAAGATGACCTTAAAGCAGGTAACCTCCACCTTGAGTTTTAGCCAGGGAATGGTTTTTACTGACACAAATTCCCAGTGACTTGGAGAAAGAATACCAGTTTGGGGCACTGAGGTGAGTTGGGTTGCTTCTCCTCTTTCTGGTCCATCGGTCTCTACCCCTGCTGGCCGCGCTTTGGGTGATGCTCAGCCAGCTGCTGAGAGCAGCCGCAGGAGCACTTCGTGCATGACAGCAGCTGCAGAAACAAACGGACTTTGATGCTGCAGCTACAAAGGGTTTCCTGCTGGGTGGTCTACTGAGAGCACCTAGCACTTGTTTCATTCTTTGCAGAAAAGGTTTGTACCTACAGAGGTAAGCTGGCTGTGGGAGCACTGTAGCGTGTTCTGCACAGCCACATATAGGCTCTGGTAATCTCTGCACTGTGCTTGCTGGTACAGATATACAGTTCTTCAGGGGTAGTACAGTACATTAGAATTTCCTTTTTTTTTTTTTTTTTAAAGAAAAAAGTGTTGGCATGCAAAATGGAAGCTGGGACAAGCTGCTAGGGATAGCAGGGATGTTCTCTGTTATTCTTGATTAAAGAGAGCAAAAAGGCAAATTGGAAATTTCTACACCAGTGATCTTCCTCAGCTAGCTCATTTCTGCCTCACAGTCTGCTCTAGTTTCAAGGTGAGCTGGTGTAGAACCAGCTCAGTACCTGTGTACAGCTGGCAATAGTTCCAGTTGGTTCTGCAGCAGTCTAAGATAAAATTTATCTACCTTAGGTTCCAAAGTATCCATTTAGTCTTTATCTTTTTTCTATTCAGAGCCTACATTATTAAAGTCATAATTGTACACATAAGCCCCTTTTGCAAAGAATGAAACTAGTGCTAGGTGCTCTCGGTAAACCACCCTGCATTTCACCCAGCAGGAAACCCTTTATAGCTGCAGCATCAAAGTCCGTTTGTTTCTGCAGCTGCTGTCATGCACGAAGTGCTCCTGTGGCTGCTCTCAGCAGCTGGCTGAGCATCACCCAAAGCGCGGCCAGCAGAGGTAGAGACTGATGGACCAGAAAGAGGAGAAGCAACCCAACTCACCTCAGTGCCCCAAACTGATATGCTTCTTCCTCCAAGTCACTGGGAATCTGTGTCAGTGAAAATCATTCCCTGGCTACAGCACTGTTGCCTAAAACTCAAGGTGGAGGTTACCTGCTTTAAGCTCACGTTTCTTCCTGAAGAAAACTCTCCTGAGGGACTTAAAACCCTTT